GTCGAGACATAATTCAACAAATATAATTCATAAATCACATCACACCAAATCGGATAAGGATAAGCGTTTTACCATTAAAAATTAAGCATGCTTGACAAAAACACGGAGATCATAAGAGGAGAAACGCGAGATCGCCTTAAATACCAAAGCCAAATAATTCGGAAAGCAGAATGCAAGAGTCGCGACTTCTAATTAAAACTCAGAAATAAAAGAAAAACGAATTTGGTTTTAACGAATGACACGTGGGCTTCGAGACACGGAAGACATTATTCGAGACTTCACATTCAACAACTTCCATATGGGACTCAGGACTTACTAAAAAAGATTAAATCTAAAATCTTTATTTACGGGCTTATTGTAATGTTTTGCTCCACGAGATTTTGCATTTCGTGACTTTGGTGTAAAGATTTGCAACTCTGCATATTAGATACGATTCGCATCTGACACTCTCCTTATAGCCATCCACACATGCGACTATTATTTGGGTACACGCGAACCATAACTTTGGAGTTAATTCCCGCATCTCGTGATTATAGATTCAAGACTCAGTTGTCATAATTCGCCACGTTTTGCTGATGGCTTCCAACTTGACAGTTGAGATTAGAGATTCCCGATTTTCTATCCACTTTTCTACACTCTCGGCTCGCGACTCGTTACTCGATCACGTACAGATCGTCTGCATCTTCGAGCCCGACCCGCCAGGCTAGCCTCGACTCGACACGAGGCCTCGTCTGACCTTTCAGAACGCCCGGACGAACTCAACTGGCTTCGTTACGACGAAAATCGATCGTCATCTCGAGCAGGTCCACCGAAGGCGTACCGTGTCGCTCTGGTCGACAGACAAACGACGAAGCTCTGCCGTCAAGAATGTGTAGGGCATTGTCAACACTTGCACGTCATCAATACCTCATCCTTCGAGTCTGTTTGGTTGTCCCCTCAAACGGTACACTTTCAAGGTATTCCTTCTCTCACCACCATTGTCCGTTTATTTCCACTCTCTCCAGACGTCTGTTTGTATGCCTGCTGGTCCG